TAACGCGGACATGGCATGCTCCTTCCTGACTATATATCTTCTAAGGACTATCTACAAAAATTGCTTCTTTAGTTTCTTTATTTATTACTTCTCTTTTCATGCGTTTAACCGACCTAATTTTTTGTGTAAAAAAGGTCGGTATGTAAGCAACTAACTTATTTTGTGTTATTAAATCATGTTCTAGCAACAAATTAGCAGTTTTATAATCTTTGCAAACGATTTTAACTCTATTTATACCAATTGGTTTCATATCTATAATATTATAACGAAAATCATCATTAGTTCTCAAAAAATTAACGATTTTAATAGGACATAATCTTCCTATATTTTTTCTCTGTGCTCTATATGTACGTAAAAGGGGCCTGCATCACTAACAAGATATCTGTTATTAAGGTCGTAGTGAAATTCCTTTTTTAAACTATCTAAATCAGTGGGTGGCAGATCGCAGTTCGTATTTTCACTCATTATTTTGAGCTACATTTCAATTATAATTGATTCAATTTCTCAAAAATATATTTAAAATGTAGAATGTAAATAAATCAGTTTTACTTATCTGAGATACCACAAACCACTGTTTGCACACGTCCGCGACCTACACGTGTACGAACAAGAATGGTTTAATATGTTCAAAGAAAAAATTTTGGAGGTACTTCCACAGCTTATACAATACAGCTAAAACACTCTCTTGGCGGCAACGGATTGCGTCGATTTCGTCGCGCATCGCTTAAGCTCCGCCTTCGGACGGAAAAGACGGTTTTGGCGTTCAGAATCGTACTTAGGAAAGGTGTTGAGTCGTGCGTATAATTTTGTTGATTGTATAATTTCGTGGAGCCTATAATTTCGTTGATTTTGTTTGAGTTAAAGGTACTGTTATTATTTTGGTGACTCTTTAGCTGTGAGTAGAATGAGTAAAAAAAAAGACATCATTCTGTTTGTGCAATCAAAAGCTGTTTTAATAAGGGTTATACAAGAAAATATTCTTTTGTTTTCCCAAGGACCCAAACCGATAAGTACCACATTGTAAGAAATTTTCATTGTTAAAAATATAATTTATACAGGGTGTCCCATTAGTGCGTTATTGTTCAATATTTGTGTTGTAGACACGCAAAAAAGTTTTAAATAAAAGTTATATGGATTTGAAAAATACCTAAATATTTTAAAAATATCTTTGGATATACACACAAACTTCGTCTTTGTGTGATATGGCTATCATATCCACTCTTGTTGAACAAACTACTATTTATTTGTTTTCTTGGTTTAAGTTTTACATCGGAAATAGGTACTAAATTAATTTACTATTCAAGTTTTTTTTGTAAAAATCGATATTAGGTACTTTCTCCAAGTACAAATTTAGTACCTACCTAAAATAAGTACTAATTATGTAATTTCGTGTAATATTGTAATTCAAATTTCACATTACTATAAAGTTTCAAAATTCCCTACTTCGGAATGGTCAGATACAAATTGAATATATTATATTAATAAAAACTGTCAAAGTATTACTTCTACAAATCTGTATTTCAATTAATAAGAATACATCTAAATATAACCAATATTGTTAAAAAAAAGCACAAATTCTTTTTAATTCTAGAATACCATAGAGTTCCCAGACCTCAGTTGAAGCATTCGTTTATCTAGGTTTAAATCCTTTGCGCGAAGAGTAACACTTGCCAGACATACGGGGTACACCACTTGTGGATCCACGGGCGTAACAAAATTGAAGCTCTTGGCGTAAAAAGGATCCAAGCCACAATTTGTCGTGAAGTGACTGTTTTAGCTCAAAACATCTGTTAACGAGGATTTTACTATCCACATACAAATTATTTTACCTCTAATCCAAAAGATGTGCTATTTTTCGTAATATTTATATTTAAATAATTTTTTAAATTATATTTGACAGATTTAAAACAAATTTAAAATTTAATTTCTCAAAACTTACTTAATATGGCATGTAACCAACCTTATTTTGCCAATGTTTTCAATTAATTCAATAATAAAAAAATTGTTTAATCCGGGCCCGACTTTTCCGTCAAATCTAACAGAGATAGCACCATTCCATCTTGCTTGGTTCTCGACCGCCAGATCAAAGACGCCGACACGGAGTTGTGGAGCTGTATTGTATAAGCTGTGGTACTTCTGTGTAACAGTTTCTATTCAATCAAGGAATACTTAAAAATTCCATTTACAGAATTTTAGTATTTTAACTTATTTTACAATAGGTATATTTATATTTTTATGTACTGTATTTATTTTAAAAAGTCATTTTTTTTACATAAAGTTTTTTCTGACAGACAAATATTTTGTAAAGATATTAATAAATACCTATCTATATAAACAAGTTTCTAAAGGAATGTTTTAGGTCCCTGCTTACATACTCTACACCTAATTTAATAAGTGGACTATTATAATTTTTAACAAAATGTGCTTTAAACTAAATGATCATTTATTATTAATAATAAATAGTATAGAAATAAAACTGTTAAAAAAGTTATTCGTCTTAACTCATTAAATATTCAACACAACATTCGAAATACGAAACTGTTTACAACTCAATTATTTATTACCATTATTCGTGCACGAACCACATGCCAATTGGCTCATCTCTGCCGAAAATTGATTACCTCTTAATATCTGTCAAAAGGTTGTTACTCTGAGAATGATTTTGATTTTAGCAGCTGCAATGCGTCAAACCAATTTCGTAACCTGCGAGAACATCGGAAGTTACGTGCTAAATTGGAACTTAAATACACCGTAACATGTGCTGAATATATAATATTGAGCTTATATGACTGAATGATTGGACTAGAAATTAGTCCGGGGAATACGTAGATGGGAAAACAATGAATATTGCTGCATGATGGTTGTTTACTAGCTTCTCTTTACTTTTACCGTCCTTTATAAAACAATACAGGGTGTTTCAATGAGAAAGACTAAAGTGCTGCCAAATAAATCATACGTATTGTTAATGTTAATTTCGGTTATCGGCAATATAATAAATATATGTTTTAAATAAGATATCGTCTATTTTGTTCATTTTTGGATTGCTGGTATTTCTAATATTGGGTCTATCGCCTTTTATAACCAAAATACCGTATGTTTTATCAATGTTGCCCATTTTTTCTTTACTTATAAGTTAAGAATCAGCTCCTATATCGATGGTTTATTGCGTACATGTGTTAAGTAATATTTTGCTACTATTTTACAATTTAAGTTTAAAGGTTTGAAGCTATATGTCTGTTATTTTACATTAAATGTATCTATCAAACCCTTTCAACGGTTCTTCGTTAGGATTTTTGTTAAAGCAGATCATACACGCAAAACACGTTAAAATTTTAAATATTTAAATAATTACATACAATAAGTGAACTAGATGATAACACAACATTAAAGAATATTTTAAATGAGATTATTAACAGCAAAAAGGAACTAAAAATGCAACAGGTGCTTCTGAGGCTAGACTATTGTTAAAGGTTGAATGAGTGCAAACTGAATTACAAAGAGAAAGAAAAAATTAAATTATTTAAGCAACAAAAAAAAGATACTTCCGATTCGGACATCGTCGTAGCAACATTGAAATGGCGGTCTCCGAATCGGGAGTCCTCAAGTCCAACTAAAATCACAAAATATTAAGTACAAAAGTGACCATCCGACTTTAAAAAGTGTACTAAATTAAATAAAATATTCATTGCCAAAAATTCTGAAGAATATTTATAATAATTATCAAGTGTAGTGAATAGTGTAGTGAATAGTGTAGTGAAGAGTGTAGTGAAGAGTGAAGACAGAAGTCCGACGCACGAGGGTGCAGCTTTTCCTGGGTGGATAGTCCTCGGATTAGGCCCATAACCACATTAAACAAGAAGAAGATGAAGAAGAACAAAAAAATGTATTGATATTTTTGGGCTTCAAACATTCAAATCACCTAAACGTACAATATATTTGCTCACAAATTAAATCGCTGTTGGATATAGATATAAAACCATCTGAAATTAATAAATTTAAGGAAAAAATATAAACATTGTACCGGGTGTTCCATTAAGAGAGGTAGTCGGCTATATTTCAGAAACTAATAATAGTACAGCTTTGGGGAAAAAATATTTTTTATAAATTAATAAATCTAAGGAAAAAAATATAAACATTGTACCTACATGAACAATTCCCCAAACAAAGATACGAGTCCAGTATTCTTAGAAAACATTTAAATTGTATAAAACAAGATAAACAAAACAACTTATATTGAACGAAATAATGTAAATGACATTACTGTATTGTAGACTTGATAGGGGTAGAAGAACTAGCGAACAACCTAAACAAAAAAGCAAAAAACAGTGCTCCATCGACTTCAACTGCTTTCACTATATATACCATATTTTCATAGCTTTGTTAAAAATTGTGTGATCCATCATTATGCAGATGATACGCAGGTATATCACTCGTTTAATAATGAATACTTACTGCCGAAAATCTTATTAACAACGATCTAAATGCTTTACTTGGTATGGCTGCAGCTCACAACCATAAAATAAATTCTAAAAAATCATTCACCATGTTATTTGGCCACAAACAATAAAGACAATTAAAAATAAACGAATAAAAATTAAATTAGGCGATGCTTTCCTTTAATTTACGAGATAAAGAAAAAACCTAGGCCTTAAAAAAAAACAATATCAACATGAAATTTTGAGAAAAAATCAAATTCTGCAATGGGCTTTTTTAAAGAATCTAATTAAAGATGGGGGGTTAAAAGGGAGTTTGTTTAACTACTTAGAGTAATCATATAAAATAAAAAGCATTACATGTCTTCATTCTAGTTGTATTTTTGTGTTATTTATAGGTTAAGTTGTATATCAGCGCAAGCTAAACTTGATCTTTTTATCTATACTTATATATTTACACTTATTAAAGGTACTTTTAGAGGGTCAGATCAGTTCTCCGTTCAGTCTCAGTTTCATGACAAACCATGACTTTATTAGTGAGTTTATAAAACTTTATCAGCAACACCCATGCCTGTGGAACAAAAAAGATCCGCAATACCACAACATAAACAAAATCAAGCTGCGTATAATGTTTTGGTTGAAAAATTCAAAGAGCAAGATAACAATGCAACTATAAAAATAGTAAAAGCGAAAATAAACAATTTACGATCAGGGAATAATAAAGAACGAAAAAAGGTTAAGGGGGCTACTAAAAGCGGAGCCGGAAGTGGTAACATATATGAACCATCTTTGTGGTACTACGACTTGTTTATGTTCCTTAACGATACACAAGATGTTCATGGTGGTAGAAATACTATGGACAATACATGGTGATGAATAAGGATCCAGAAAACACAGTAAGTTAATACTACATTAATTCATAGTATAATGTTTTTATTGTTTTGTAAAGTTTAATATGGTACAAATATTCTACAAAAGGTACAAAAAATTATGCCATATATGTTGTGCGAACTACTTTATCTTGCCAGTTAACTTTTCCTTTATTTAGTAAATATTGCATGTACTTATTTCTCACATTTTTTGCTACTTTACTAGCATCGTTCCGATTTACTGTCACTTGAAGATTTACTATCCCTTGCACCTCCAGAACGAAGACTTTATCTGAACTATTTAATTAAGTTGGAATATAAGTAGCCTTATGTCTTAAAAAATTGTGAAAGTAGCAGCAATCCAAGACAACAACATCAACATTTTCCATGTTTCTCAAATATATAGAAGTACGAAAGATTCTAAATCTATTGGTCAATATCCCAAATGTGTTCTCACCAATACGTTTTGTTCTTGATAAGCGGTAGTTAAAAACCATACGTTCATAATTCAATTGGTTTTTGTTGAATGGTTTTAGGAAGTTTGGCTTTATTCTAATGTTTCGTCTCCAATAAAAGCAGATGGTAGTTTTGTGGTACTAGACGATGACCCTGCTTCGGGTGGTAAATGTAAATTATTATTAAATAATTTTTATAAAACTCAGTATTGTTGAGTAAGCCTCCATTTGAAATGACTCAATTGATTCCGGCATTGCACATAATAAATTCTTAATTCGAATTTACGACCGCCATTAACACTATGCTATAAAATTTCTTATAATTCGAAAATATGGATCCATTGTCTGGTGCTTGCCATCTACAGCTCCAAGACAATTAGGAAATTGCCATCTAGTTTGAAAACCCTCGGCTTTAGTTGCTGGCATCTAAAACAATACATTACTTCAGTTTATTTTGCAATATAGTATCTAGAGGTATTTCTAGTACCCAACTAATGTTTATTTTTTGTAGGAGGATTCATCGTCTGGTTGTGATGGTTATGCACATGATGACGGAGAGGACAATCCCATAGAAGAAACAACAAATCACTCACTTAATGAGGAAACTGTTCGTCAGTCTAAAGAATCACGCCCTATTACTAAAAATAGTTTACAATCAGTTCGTGGGTCGGGACCGACGAATACGAAACCCTCAGATACACAAGTGAAGAGACCATCCAGCAGCTCCACTAATGTAACAAAAATATGCTTTAACTGGTGGCTGGTCGATTGACGAAGAACTATAATACGAAAGGTGATATGCACACTGCATTTGGTAATCAAATTGCAGCAGAACTAAGTAATATGCCACCCGATATGTTACCTTTCGTTAAAAAAATTATTTTGCATGCCATATTTGAAGACCAAATGCGTTCCCTTAATAAAATGTCAGCTAAAATAAATTCATGGCATGTACAATGTGCTTCAACACCAGAATTAAGGTAGGAAGTTCAGTGACCAGTTATTTTTGCAGTATTCTGATACATAATATGTTATACGACTACATATTTGTAAGCTGTAATAAATAAAAAGATTTATTTGTCACTATCGCACTTATCTTTATATAATCCTTCAGTACTGTTATTATTGCTTTACAGATTTCGGGTATTATAACACTTAAACTAGGAGTTGATATGACAGTAGGAAATTTAAGACTTTGATATGAACTTCCTTAATCAAAAATCTGATCGTTGCACTTATCCTTTCATGTAATGATATAGCTTCTCTCGTGTTGGTTTTCTTGTTTTTTTTTTAGAATTGGTTTTACTAACTGCAGAAACTCTAGATATGCATCCTCACTCATTCTGAAATAGTTTGACCAATCAGAAGGTTCAAAATAAAGTTTCTTTAATAAATTTAAATGCGACAGTGTATTTCTTTTTTTGTGGTTTTTTAATGCTTAGCACAACGCAACCGCAATAAGGGTATCTTCGTTCATCACTGAACCGTGCATGACAAATGACAACTGATAACTAAACTGATCGTCTAACAACAGCAGCATTTTCAAACTGAACTGATATAATGTACTGAAACTAAGACTAAACGGAGAACTGATCTGACAGTTTAAAGTACCTTATTATTATTACATAATGAAGCAAAATAAAGATAAATTATTTGTTCACATATAAATAGTTACATGCATTTAACACAATTTCTCTTAAAATTGCACTTAACCATATTCTTGACCTTTCGCTAACTTATTCTCCATAATTTTCCGGATTTACGGAATAAACAAGAAACCAAACCCAATTCTGTCTTCATAGAAACTGAATAATGTCATCCAGCCTAAAGATAACAACTGAATCTAATGATGTGCTTTTTATATTTGCCTAAATTATTTTATCGTTAAAATTTCAGTTATTATTATTTTTTAATATTTTTTGGATACATACGTAATCAAAACGGACGGGATTTTGTTAATTTCATTGCGTCAAACTTAAAATTATATAACTAAGGAGATTTTTAAAAACTAGATAATGCTATGTTGAAACATGCACGTATATTATACATCTACACCACTAGAAAATGTAACTGTAGCCCTACAGGTCCATATGTAGGATCTAATATCACAATCATTTATCTGTCGAACCTTTTCTAAATAGCCCCTTAGTGGATTTGTAGATCCAAAAAAATAGATAATTATTCCATATGGTAGTATAGATACATATGGAAAAAGGTGGTAAAAATACAACATATTTTACTGATGCATTGGGCTGGACCAGCCTAACTGCCAAACTGACCAGTTAGTTGATAACTCAAAACATAAAAAAGAAATGTAGGTCCTTGTCTTGTCATTCTAACAAAAACCTTCAAGAACAATGAATTAAACATAACCGTGTCAATTACAATTCTATCCATCTCTCTTGCACGTGCTAGCGACAAATGGTTTGAATTTAAAAAGCAATCACAATCTCCGACGTCATCAACAAGAGGATTTAACAGATTCAGTCAACAGAAACTATGTTCTTGAATATCGTTGGGCTGATATAGAAGATAAAGGACCAAGTGTACACAATAACGATGACAAGAATGGAAGACGTGGAATGCAATTCCTCTACATTATAGATCAACACGTTTGTTGATATCTAAAATTAAAAGTATATTCCACTCCCATAAACAGAAGAATAGAAAAGGCATAAGAAAAAATAAAAAATAACCTAGATATGTACTTAAAACATTTTTTTACAAAAGGGTAGAAAATGCATAGAATAAAATGTAGATCATTTTTAACAATTCCTATAGTTTTTGGAGTAACAAGATTTTTATTTATTTACAAACTTTGGTATTGTAGATGTAATATTTAAGTATTATTTATGCATTTTTCCTTTAATTGTAATTATTTTTATTGTTTTATATTAATATTTAACGTCCTTTCATATAATTATGCTATTTACTGTTTATTAAAATATTCGCATTTGAAAGATACTTAATTGTGATATTTGGTCATAAATACAGCCCTGTAAGTATACTTTTTTGTGGTGTAGATGTATGAGGGTATCAACATAATATATGTAATTTTTAAAAATGTCTTTAGTTCAAAAATAATCATATTTATGGTGCAATTAAATTAGTGAAATCCCATCCGTTTCTAATTTGGACTTAAAATTTTAGTAGTAAAATTATCTACCCAAATATAAAAACATCATTGAATTCAGATTTTTATGTTTTTTTTTTAAATATAAAAATAGTCTTATCATTTTTTTTATATGATGAGAGTATTTATTTGATTTTGAGATTGGTTTTTCTTCACTTGCTTCTTTCCCAGTCAAATCAAGTATAGTTAAATATTCTAGATTATAAGAAAATATAAACTTTGACAAATTTATTTTTAATCAAAATGTTAAACTACAACTGTAATAATAATTATTTCTTTCGCTGTTCTTCGCGAACATTTGAAATAAGTTTCGAAATCCGTTTAGCGGCTAATTCCACGGTTCATGAACTAATACGGTTGTCTAATCAGCGGCAACCAATGAAATCATGCTTGAAAATACGTCAAAAGTATATCCAATCAAAATATTGTTGTTATATTCCAAGTTTAAAATCAGAAATGATGGGGATTTTTTTAAGGAATCGTATTTTTTATATGATAGAAACTTTTTATTAAAAAATAAAAAAGTGAAAAGTAAGATCAAGACTGGATAAAATTAGGAAAACAAGTGTAAGGAAGTCAACAAATGTAAAAGACTAAATGCACTAAAAAAAAAAATAACAAGTTGATCTATGTCTGAGGTCCGTATTTATAAACAGAACTCAGCTGAGTCAGACTTGGGTAAGTCGTCCTTGAGTCTCTAAAGTTCCAGGTGGTTCCAGTGTTACACTGGAATTTAGAGAGTTCTGTTTATAAATACGGACCTAAGTAAGTATAAGAAATAGTATAAAATAATATAAAATGGACAAACATATAGTATTTTTTAGAACTTTGGTTTTCCCCCGCTAACATAATAATCTATATTTCTGTATTAATTATGTCATTTTACTTACAAAAATGTATTTATCAAAACCCTCCCGGCCAACAATTACTCCTTTACCGTCCCATCCACATAAATATGAAATATGATTTTTCATTTGGTCTCGCATTGTATTAATGTTTTTGCTAACGGTCAGATAAACCGCTAATATCTGAAAATTTCAACTGTTTATTCATTATTTTCACCGCTAAATCACGAGCGGCTTTGAAAAATGCTCTTAATACAATGGTTTTTTTTATCCCCCGTTTCAAAGCTCTGCCTAAGGGTTTATTACTGGTAGGGCGCATAATTAACGGAAATGAATGGAGCAATTCAAATATTTTATTTTTGATTTTAGATAATGAACAACTCTAATTTGATATTTGTTTTTATTAAATTACCAGAAGCATGAAATAAAATGGTCAGGAGACAAATAATTTTTATTTTACAAAAAGTAGATGGTAATTAACACGAGGGTTGGATAAATAAGAGATAATTCTTTGTACAGTTCATCAAATTTCTAGAGGCTTTCGACGGCTAGACAGAGAAAGCACTACTGACAGGCATCCCGACGGATTTACGCAATAAAAGTACACTCTGCGCATCAAGTATTTCACTATTTCATTCAGACGTAAATGTCAGATGTAAATTTCGCTAAAACATTTCTTTTATTTTCGTTTGTGTTTTTGCTCATTACAGTTTAATAGAACCTAAGTATGGAGTTTAATAGCAAATTAAGAGGCCGCGTGATTAACAGTCAATCTCGCGAAATAATAGCCAATGTTATAGAGTTTATGAGAAGAGAAGGAAACTTTAATTCACCTTCAATACCATTTAAAAATGTAAATGATCGTGTTGCTGCAGCCACAGGAGTATCTAAAAACACTGTCGTCCGCATTTCTGGAGAGAAAAAAAGAATCGATAACCGTGAGATATCGCAATTTTCATCACCAAGAAAAACCATTAAAAAACCAAAAACAGTTAATGATATAGATGAAGCTGCACAAAAATCAAATTTTATTTTTTTATTATTAGATAGCTATTTTTGTTTCTGAGTTGTGTTCATTTACAGGCTCAATTTTTTTCCGTTTCTCCTTTTTGATTTTATATGGGGTTTCAAGTTGTTTTTGACTTATTTCGACGTAAATCACAACAACACACTTTTTTAATAAAGCAAACAAGTGTTAAGAGGTATATGTACGTGTAAACTACAATTACAAAAAATTGATATGAAACCCATGAAACCACCAACAAAAATGTAAAGCTAGCTTCCGTACTAGAAAATGGTGTCATTCGTCGAGATAATTTATCGTTTTGTTTAATAGATCAAGAAATTTAAATATTCCCCTGTTATTTTTTATAAAATTATAAGAGAAATAAATTTTTTTCTAAATAGTATAGTTTATTATTTTGTAGAAAAACAAAATTTCGAAAATTTTAGTAATGTTTCAGAAACAACCGTTATTAATAATAGGTACCATTTTCCTTAATAAGGTAGAAATAAAATATAAACTATTTCCACGATTTACAAAGGCCTACAAAAAAATTTATAGGTATTTTCCGCTATCCTATAAAATTTATATTTTCTGACTCAATTTCAAAAGGTTGAAGGAATTCCAAAACACCTTTTATGGCATAATAATTATTTTCAATTCTACATACTATCTTTAGCTGCTTTTAAAAACGTTCTAAGAAAGTCCAATCAGACCAATTTAATCCTTAAACTATTCCACACTTTTGAAATTTAATTACCTAAAAATATTAAAAACTATTTAAAATAACT